CCCCAAAACCCCAAAACCCCAAAACCCCTTGCCATAACCCCTTCTAAAAGTACTATAATTTATAATAATTCCCTATGGCTTCTTTCCTACTGGCTCTGTTAGAGTCTTGGACTAGATTTTGCCAGTGCTTAGAAGCTCCTTTTGAGACTGAAAGACTCCTTTGAGTCTTTGAATCCATGGAAGAGTAGATTCCAAGGGTTTTATGCAGCTGGAATTATATATCTGCATCTTTTGGGATTTACCCAGCAGTCGTCTAGATCGGTTCTAATGTGAAGAAGGGTGATTAAGTTCATAATAATATATTTAGTACGCTTTTATTGATACTTTGAGGTATTTTGCAGTCAAATGTGGTTATTTATAGCGAGGTATAACAGAAAAAGCATTCTGGATAATCAACAATACTCATTCTAATTGTCCCTCTATACTGACATTGTTTCTATGGATTATCTGTAACATCTGAATAGACTTATTGTAACTAGTTATGAGAATGACACAGGTTACCTTTCAGACTTTATTCCGGTGAATTCTAGCAAACTATCCTGAGAATCAATCCTGGAGGTCAGGTATTTATTCAATCTACCCTTGTAAACACTGAAATTCCAATAATATGGCATCTCCCTGTATTTCGTAGATAATATAGACAATTGGAAATAAAACTTGGAAAAGCATGCTTTTGAACAACTAAAAAAATGCTCAAGCATTATTGCTTAGGTGAAACCAAAGCAAATGACATCGGATATCATTGAGCTACAGATGATCAAGCAATTGAACAGAAGCAGGGAGGGTAATGGGGGTGCTTGTTGTAACCTCACCAATGTTTATATAGTACTATTCTTCTTCCAGATCCTCATAGCTCACAGATAATTTATTGTAATAGACTTTGATTCTTCCAATATCATGTGTACAGCCAGAGAATTTATGGATTATTAAATTACAAGAGAATTTTTATAGTGTAAGACAGTTTTCTTATTCAAACAAAAAATTCGATGCCTAGACTTAGCAGCTTTAATCATGTTACAGTCATTCTCTCAATAGAGAGTTGGATATATAAAGAATGGGCCATCCTTTAAGCTATCAAAATGGAAAGTTATATGCTTTAAACATATCTCAACTGAACTATTACTCTTAAAACCCAACAGCTTAAGTGAGTAAACTGTTTTTCCTTTGACTCACAGAACAGGGGAAACCAAATTCTTAAGTCCAGTACATGCCCCAATGGTATGTAAGTCAGGGACGATCCACATCTTTGGGACAATATTCTTCTTCTTTCTAGCTTATGAAGTCCTATACATATATTTTGCTTAAGAAAGGTGCATCTTCATTGTATCTTAATAAACCGTGGCTGCTCATTATGACAGAGATATAGAGAAACAAGAGAGAGGAAGAATTTGTTCTAAAATATATCTAAATTTTCAACCGACTTGTGACCATAAGGGGTTTTGGGGTTTTGGGGTTTTGGGG